GGGAAAAGGGGGAAAGGTGGGGTGAGAGGAGAAAAGAGGGTGGGAAAAGGGGCGAGGGGGGAAAAGAGGGTGGGAAAAGGGATGAGGGAGTGGGAAAAGGGGAAAAGTGGGGACGAGGTAGGAAAAGGGGGTGGGAAAAGGGATGAGGGGGTGGGAAAAGGGGATAAAGGGGTGGGAAAAGGGATAAAGGGGTGGGAAAAGGGGGGATGAGAAGGGAAAAGGGATGGGCAAAGGGAAAAGGGGGAGGGAAAAGGGTGAACAGGGGAAGAGCCACCAGACACAAAGCCATGAACCATGGCCGGGGGGGTGTGAGGGGCTGCGGGAGCCGCGGGGGGCTCACGGGGGCGTGCAGGGACCCACCGATCTTCATCTGGAAGTTGTTGAAGGAGTGCTCGTTGATGTACTTCATCTGCTCCATGAGGTGCATGGCGTAGTCGGCGAGGGCCGCGATGTGGCTCCGGCCCTCGCGGTCGTAGGTGGAGGCGTTGAGCCCCGACGCCGCCATGTAGGTGCTGCCGATGGTCTTGATCTTCTCCAGCTGCCGGTACTTCTGCTCGCTGATGATCTGGTTGTGGGGACACACACACACGTGGTGGGGTCACCCCCCACCCCCCCGCAGCCCCTCGGTAGGGCTGTGGGTGCCCCGGGTCCTGCACCCCCTCCCGTGGCTCCGTGGATGCTGCTCCGTGGCCTCTCCAAGGCCCCGTGCACCCCATTTCCCTGCACCCGTCATCCTGCACCCCATTCATGCTGCTCCACAGCCCCTCCAGCACCCCGTGATTGTACTCCCCGCACCCCACCCTCATCCATGCTGTTCCACAGCCTCTCCAGCACCCCCTGCACCCCTTCCCGTGGCTCCAAGAACGTCGCTCCACAGCCCCTCCAGCACCCCGTGCGCCCCATCCCCGTGCACTTCACCTCCACACATCCCGCACCCCCCTGCCCTCGTCGCCCCTCGCTCCCCCCAGCACCTCGTCGAAGTCGGCGATGATCTCGTTGAGCAGCCTCAGGCACTCCACGCCCTCGTTGTTGGCCTCCAGCTCCACGTAGAACTCGGAGAAGTTGCTGATGGAGGCGAACATCACGGCCACGCACTCGCAGGACTGGTAGTAGAGCTCGTCGTTGCGCCGCTCCCGCGCCAGGAAATGCGCGGCCACGTCCTTGGGCAGGATGTTGTGGAGCAGCCGCCGGTTGTAGGCCTGGAGCTCCTCCATCTCCTCCTTCTCGCCCGTTGCCTGCGGGGAACAGACCCGTGTGGGGGCTGCCAGGGGGGCCACGGGGCCACCCCGGGGTTGGGGCGCGGGGAGGGGTCGGTTCTGGTCCGGGGGTGAAGGGAAAAGGGTTGGTCCCGGTCATGGGGTGTGGGAAAAGGGTGGTTCCCAGCCCCTGGTCCTACCTGGAGCTTCCAGAGGAAGTCGAGGCGGGCGGTGGACTCGACCTGCTGCGCGTGCAGGTAAAGGGCCAGGGCGAACACGGCCAGGACGGCGGGGGTGACGAACCGCAGGGCCACCTTCCCCTCCGCGGGGCTGCGGGACCCCCGGAGCCCTGAGAGGGGCTGAGGGATGGCCCCCGCCCACCCCAGGGACCCCAAACCTGCACCCAACCCCAAACCTGCACCCAACCACCTTAGGGACCCCAAACCTGCACCCAACCCCAAACCTGCACCC